CATCTAATAAATGAGAAATAACAAATAGAAATACACCAAAATAATAGTTTGAACTTGAATCCAACATACAGTAACACTTAAATCCACCATATAAGTTTGTGATTGACACCTTGAATGAACTGGAACAAGTTGAGGAATATAGATAGAACTCGTGATTAGAAGTGATCATTTGTGCTTTTACACCAAAGGACTCTAAATCCCAAGATAACGACATGCATATATTGAACAATCAAACATTAAAATTAAGCAATTATTTATACACAAGCACAGAAAATCCTAATTATAGTATGGAACAAAAGGGGGCTTGACCTAAACTGAGCAAACTGCAGAAAGGAAGGTTTTTTATCCCATTCGTAGCGAGCGAAGGAAAGCGACCGGTGAATTTGATAAAAAGTGGTGGCAATGTGGATTTGTAGTTGTGAAAGCCAAACAAAGTGGTCTTCTCGAATGAAAGTTCGTTAACCGATAATATTTTTATGATTAATTTGATAATATTCCATGATTAATAAACATAATAATCTTACACTAATACACTTTATCAACAGGAGTTCCAATTTTTCCATTGTTTTAACTTTATGGAGGTATATTTCCTAAATTCTCAAGAAACAAATTCACAATATTCGAATGTTATTAAATAGTTAATAATATAATTTATCCTAATAGGTAGATTAAGTATAGTTTCCATCATTGTATAGTCTTGATAAAATATTTATTTATTTGCTATATCATTTTGATGTATGTAGCATTGTAGCTAATGTAACAAGCATTGAAGCAAATATCATGGCTAAATGTAAATATTTGCTTCAAAGTTAATATTCCATAGCTATTTCTCAATATTAACAGCTTCACCTATTCAAATTTTATAGCTAATGGCCACATACCGTTTACAAATATATCTTTTATGATTGCAAATAAAATTTTGAAATGAGAATTGTCACAAATGTTTGTTATAGTAGCTAAAGAGATTAATTTGCTAAAATATTCTAGCGTAGCATATAGTTTGTGGCAAAAGATAGTACCAATTGCCATGTTAGATAACATTCGAATCAAAACAATACAATTAGCCACAAGCAAAACCTTTGTAGTTTAAAAAGATATAAACAGCCACTGGGCGGAACTTTTGTGGCCATTATTTGCATTAGCTTCAAAGTTTTTTTTATGGCTATGATTGTGTCTATATGTAACAATTGTTGTAGTGGGCCTTTTTCTTTTGTGTGATGCCTGTAGGTTCTAGAAGATAATTTGTCCCTGGAAAACCACAAATAAAACATACTTTCCAAACCTATAAATATTAAATAGATACTATTGGACTCTAAACGAGAGACAACTCTAGAGGCCATAATTCGGCATGGTGCTCCACAGAATATTTTCTAAAAGTTGGATTTTTCTTATTCCGATTCGATGTTTTCTGTTTTTCCTTCGAACTCATCTTGTACCAACAAATCAACAACCATTGACCCTCATCATGATCCTGAAAATAGCTACCATGGCTCAACTATTGACTTGACTTCTAATTGGTCGTTTTCTTGCTGAATTTGAGAAATGAAGGTTTCGATCATAACCTGGATTTTGAAATTTTTGGATTTTATTATAGAATTGATCCATTATAGATTTGAAAAAAAAAACACTATTTTTTGCTGGTTTCAGGATGGATTTGGTTGAATTGGGGTGTGCAAAACATTTTCCATTATTGCTCTATTTATTAAACTGATGGGATCCATAACAAGTCATTAAAATGCCACTGCTTAAAAATGATTAGGATCTGATACTGGGGTACTGTGTAATTGGATTCCCCTAAGCATAAAGCCAAATCCAGGGTAGATGAGGGGAGTGAGTGTGTTGTCGCAATCAAATGTTAATGAAGATTCTAGTGTATTAGTTAAGGGAGATAAGTTATGATTATTTATATCTTGGGGCTAGACTCCTGTTGACAATTCATGCACCTAATTCTATGCATCTGTAACATTTTCGGGCTAGTTATACCACACCTCTACCTCCTTCATTTTTAGTTGGATTTTAAAAAAGTTAGTACACAAAAGAAAAAGATTTATTGTGATCTACAAAATGATATCAATTTTTTGGGCTTGGTTACTCACCTATAAGTAACTAGATCCCCCACCTTTAGATCTAAGTGGACCCGGGAAATCCATATGTAAAGATTGTGAATTAAATACATTTTATTTTCCCTAGTTTTCTTAATCGACTCTTATCTTATTCGTTCTAACTCTGATTTCAATTTTTTCCACAGATGGAACGAGTTCCTTGTGCTCTACAAAATGAGATCAAGTTTCAATATATTTTGAGATTTTTTTCATACCTCCCGTTGCCAACTACATACCATATGGTAACTTTTTCGTTTTTAAGTCGTTTTTGAAAATATTTGCTCAGAATGAACGAGTTCATCATGATCTATTGGATCTACAATTTTTTGCGTGAATAAAATACAGTATAAAAAATTATCATACTTTACCACTCTGGTATGGGGGTGGTAACTTGTGGTAAACAATGATGAAAGTCATTAATGACAGTTAGTATACTTCTACTATCATGTATTCAACCTTCCTACAGTTTTGGTATGTTCATATCATCATGGTACGCTTTCTTACCATATGATATTAAATAGGAGCATACCATATGGTATTAACTGGTAAAAAATGACTCAATTTTTTTTGTTCTAAAAATACATCAAAGTGGATATCATTTTAAAGAGCACAGTTAATCTGATTTATCTGTGCAAAAAAGTTTAAATTCCAACTTAAAACGAGAGAAAAATAGTCCGTTAAAGATTAAATGAGAAAATATAAAACACTTTCCATGAGAGAGTGATACTGATGTGGACGGATTACTCATGATTACTCACTCTAAGGTTACTGACCTGATCCGCTCCGAATTTTTTGTAGGGTAAATACAATTTAATAGAAAATATTTTCGTTCTAAACAAAATAATAGCCAAACCTTTATAAAAACAAAATAATAGCCAAAGCGTTAACTTTCCATCCGTTTGACCGTTAGTTGACTCTAACATGGCAAAGTGTAAAGTGAGGTGGATTGTTTTTTGATGATGTGGCACAAAGTCAAATATTTGACCATGCCACATGAATATTACATAATTTTATAAAATAATTTGTATTTTCAGAAAAAAAATAGATAAATTAAATTTAGAAAATTATGTCATCTTTATCTCCTCTCTGCATCCCTCCCCGAAGTCATCGCCCACCTGGTTTCCCCCATGTCCAGTTCGCCACACATGTCACCAATTTTGTCACTTGTACTCCTCCCGTCTCTCAATCCCATCTTCCTCCGCCCTCCAATTCTTTCTCTACGGAAGATTGATCGGGAGAAAGAAAGAAGATGAGGAGGCAGCATCCTGAGCGATCTTCCTCCAACTGTAGCAGGCGGCATATTTGACGAATGCGTCATCTTGGGCGATGTTCGGAGCCATGGGCGATGTCCGAATGCAACATATTTTTACCAGTGCACTGGTATCGTTATCAGTGCAATGGTAGCGATACCACTACACTGGTAGCGCTATCAGTGCACTAGTATAGATCTCATATCTGAGTTTAAATTGCACTGGTATTTGTACCAGTGCAGTGGTAGGACGGTGGCGATTGGAGAGAGGAGGATGGTGGTAGAAGGTGATGGAGGATGGCGGCAGGAGGGATGGTGGTGATGGCGGCGGCAGGATGAGAAGAGGGGAGGAGAGAGAGAAAGAAGGGTGTCTACTTTCATTAATAAATATATTTTTTATTAATAAAATTATCATTTATTATGTTATTTATTATGTGAATAATATGCATTTATTATGTCTGCTTTCATTAATATTTGTCAGATGATTGATAAAAAATTGTCAAATGAGAGAGGGGTGTAAAAACACCAACCCTTTGGGGTAAGCATAGTATCCGACCCCTATACCTCTAGCACCCTCCTACCGTTATGGTAAACCATCATCGAGGAGTCGGAACTAATATAAAAATGTAGCTTCTTGGTCTTGGATCAATTCAATAATACCATGCGTCATTTTATTCATAGGATTTTAGGAAGATTGTTAAGATGCTTGCATTTTATAATAAATATTTTCTTTTCTTTTGCACACAATACATGTATTATTTAGTTTAATGTGACAGCAACTATCCTTGATAATAAATGATAGTACAATCTAAGTTTGTAGCTGGGATTTTTCATATGAGATTGTTCTTTATTTTTCAATTTTAACCTTTGAATAGAAAGACTTCAAATGAAAAAAAAATCTTTGTAATTAATTGTTTCCTTTAAGCTGAACATTCTATCGATTTGATCTAAGGTTCGAAAATGGAATGGCTGGACCAAGGTTGTCAACCCGCGGGTCGATCCGCGGGTTGACCCACTTTAACCCTGACCCGGTGAGAAAAACGGGCCGCAAGCACCCTCCGGGTCGACCGCTACAAGGTACCGGGTTGGAGGTCGAATTGTGTCATTTTTTTCTTTGTTTTGCGAAATGCGCCTATTTTCCGATTTTTCTTTTCGCCTAACTCAATTTTTGGAATCCTAAGTTGAACATTTGAATATTAAAATTATATATAGTTGTGTGTGAATTTTCACTATATGTTGAATCTAAGTACGAAATATTATTTTGGTGTAATATTATATGTTATAACTCATATGTTAGATGAGATTTGATATAATTTATCAGGATAAGTACAATATAATGACGCTTTCCATATTTCCGGGCTAAACCAGGCTAAAACGGGTGACCCATTAACCCTTGACCCACTATCTCAACCGGGTCCGGGTCAACCCGCGGGTTGACAACCTTGGGCTGGACAGCCTACTAATTACCCGCCTTTACTGTGAGAACTTGCAAAAAAACAAACTGTAAAGTACTATACATGTTATTGAAAACAGAAACCTGTCTATTCTCACTATCAAGTTGAACTATACTAATCATGTATACTTTGATCTGGCCTCAACAAACAATACCAAATGATGTAATCTATAAAAAAAACAACAATATTCTTACGAGATAATGTTGGTTTATGATGCCCACTTGGTCACAAAAAAAATTATATAAGGCCAGCCTGCGCCCTGCAGGGAGAGGGCGGAAGCTAATTAACAAGGGTAGTGGCGGAGGGTTTTATTACTTTATTTAGATAAATCATCTGCTGTATCAAGAAATTTCCGGCGTATGGAGGTGACGGTGGCGATGGCGGTGGGTGTGCTAGTCGGAGCACTGCCGTTGGTCGGGCTGCTGGCGTGGTGGTGGAACGAGGTGTGGTATGCGTTGCCGGAGAAATTCAAACTGTCCGGCACCGGAGTCAGGCTCCCGCCGGCCACATGGGTTTCCCTTTCTTGGGGGAGATGCTTACTTTCCTCTGGTACTTCAAAGTCGTCAAACGTCCTGACGACTTCATTAACTCCAAAAGACGCAAGTAAGTCCTACTTGCAAAAATAAAAACTGTTTGTCCATGTATTTGCATAACAGGAATTTTACAATTCGGTGTTTTCGTTACAAAGAAAAAGAAAAACTTTACGGTACAAAGTGAACCGGTACATTTAATAATATGGTAGATTTAATAATATGTTTTACAAATTTTTTATGGTACAAGCTGAAATTTGTATATTATTTTATTATATACAAATTCATGAACTGAATTTTAACTATACATTTCCGTACAACAGTCTTTAGCAGACCGTTTGATATCAAATGAATCGAGAATTCATAAAATGAATTCTCGTGTAGAAATCATTGTCAAATGAAATCTTGTGTCTGGTATGTCATATTCAAATCTTCAAAAATAAAATGATTTGTCGTGTAGAATCCATTGTCAAATGAATTCCTGTGTTTGGTATGACAAATGTATAAGTAATCTAATTAATAAAAGAGGATAACTATGTCATTCTATTCTAATTAGTAAATACTTGTAGAATTCATTTGGAAATTTTATCTAAATTTCTCAGAATTGCTATAACTAGTCTCAATTCCATAGAATTCAAAATTTAGAATTGAAAATGAATTCGTACAAAATATTACATGTTAGTTGACAAATATTATGTGAGGGGTAATTATTCTCCAAATAAAAGGTTATTGACCTTTTTGTTCAAATTATGTCCTCATTATTTTTTTTTTAAATCTCAAACTAGCCTATCCTTTTGGTAGCTTTCTTTGTAACTTTCCACTTTTATTTTGTCTAACATTAACACATCAATATATATTGAACAACGTAGTTATATAAAAAAAAATCGATTTAATACCTCTATAATGCACATATATGAATTAAATGCATTTAATAAAACTTTCGCTTTAGTAGTATTGCTGACGTTTCCCGTAAAAAAGCTTATGTTCTCATATATCAAAATGATGTATAAAACTCCGCACATATTAATACCTTAACATGTGTATGTTGACCGCACATGCACACACGATGACCAAGTGAGAAAGAAATGAGGTTAAGAAGGACAAATCTTAAAATAATAAATTTGATTGAAAATACTATATCAATAATGCTAATACTTATAATTTATTTGAACGTGATGTTTAGTACAAAATACCACATAACAAACAACATGTATTGTGACATATATTATCGGTGTGGTAATTAATCGAAATAACAGATTTGACAAATACTACATAAAAAACGATCCATGTGATGATGGAGTGCTTAGTTTGCAAGATACCTAATATAATGTCTTTTGGAACCAGGTATGGTGATGGAGCAGGTTTATTTAGAAGCCACTTGTTCGGCCATCCGACGATCATAGCATTTGCGCCGGCGGTGAGCAAGTACATGTATCAGAAAGACGACGAATTTATCATCGGGTGGCCCAGCATGGAACTTATTGGCCTAACTTCCCTCGGGGCAGTACATGGGCCGCGCCACACCAGGCTCCGAAGCTTCGTCACCAATGCTATGAACCAGCCCAATGCTCTTCGACGAATTGCATTCCTTGTCCAGCCCAACATAGTTGCTGCCTTGCAATCCTGGGCCCAGACTAGCAGAGTCAACGCTTACAAACAAGTCAAGAAGGTAACATAAATCGTATGAAAAAAAGATAGATTTATGGGAATGAAAAATCAGTTTTAGTGGAAGTTCAAAAAGCGTAGTTTAAATTACGCTTATACGTGTTTAGATGCTAATGTTTGTCTTCGAAGTAACATTATGTACATTAAAGCCTTACTCTATGATATTAACCGATAATTTTATGCTTATATGTGTTTAGACGCTAATGTTTGTTTTCAAAGTAACAAGTTTCGTACGTTAAGTCTTTACTGTATGATGTTAACCTAGTGTTTTATAAGTATTTTCACTAACAACGAATAACAAGTGAATCGGAATTCGTAGGTAACATTTGAGAACATAGGAAGGCTGTTTGCAAGTTTGGAGCCAGGGCCAGAATTAGTTGCCATCGACGAACTATTCCACGGTATATTGAAAGGGGTTAGAGCTCAACCTCTCAAGATTCCTGGATTTGCATATCACCACGGCGTTCAGGTTGCGCATCTATTATATAAAATCTCATAATTCATTACTTTGTATTCCCCATATATCGCTAGCTCATCGAAGTTGGATTGTCTGATGGCGGATCCACAAATTGTTCGATGGTCGCAGTGCAGGAAAAAACTTATGGATATATTCAGGAAAAAGATGGAGAAAAGGAAGAAGATGGAGCTAGATGGGTTAGAGTCCAAGACAAACGACTTAATGGATGGGTTGATGGGAATCCAGGATGAGCAAGGGAATAGATTGAGTGAGCAGGAAGTGTTGGACAATATCGTGAACCTTGTGATTGGGGGTTATGAGTCTACTTCCGTTGTTATCATGTGGTCTATTTATTACCTTGCCAAGAACCCTCACGTTCTTAGGAAACTTAGGGTACGTTTACGTATAATCTCAAAACATGCATTTTTCCTCCGAAATGATCGATTTTTGCCCAAAATTTGAACTTAGTGTGTGACAAATTCATTTATGGTTTGGTATTTGTACTCTTAGGAGGAGAACATGGCCTTACGCAAGAACAAGACTGCTGGAGAGTTCATCACAAGTGACGATATCTCTGAGCTCAAGTACACAAAGAAGGTTAACTTCTTGGGCTGGGCTTTATCATAAGTAGTTGTTTGTAATTCATGACTTCATGCATGTATGATCAGGTGGTAGAAGAAACCATAAGGATGGCCAACATTGCAGCTATGGTTTTCAGATTGGCTACCAAAGATGTGGAGTACAAAGGTATAACTAAGGTCTAAGAATCATAACAATTTCTTTATTTTCATTTTATAATTACTCTTGAATAAGTGTTTGAAAATTTTCATACCTACAGGTTACAGAATTCCCAAAAACTGGAAAGTTGCGATTTGGATCCGATATGCGCATACAAATCCCGAACATTTTCAGGATCCCATGTGTTTCAACCCAGGCCGATGGGATGTAAGCATCTCAGGAAATCAAAGATTATAACATATATAGTCATTCATAAAAATGAACAAGATAGAGATTGTTAAGATTTCATGTTACTTATTGGATTCAATTAGGTACCAGCCGCCCCTGGAGCGTACCAAGTGTTTGGCGGAGGGTCGAGAATCTGCGCTGGAAATATGCTGGCTAGGATACAAGTCGCCATCTTTCTGCATCACTTGTCCACTGGATACAAGTAACTATTAGTGCAACCAAGATAGTTTTGGTTCATAATGAAACATGATTTATGAGCATAATGTGTGGTGACAATTGATGTGTGTGCATGCAGGTGGGAACTGCTGAATCCTGATGCTCCTGCGATTTACCTACCTCATTCGATTCCGACCGACGGGGTGGAGATTTCGATCGCCGCACTCTGACCTCTGCTTAATATCGGTGGATCGGAACGGGAGCTGAAGACGGGGAAGCTGAGGAATCCTTCTCCTTGCCGGAAAAGGATTAGAAGCAGCGTCAAAACTCTGATATTTGAATTATTCTGCGGTTCAATATTGAAACTGCGTCGTTTGATTTATTTTGTATTAAGTCCTTGAAGTTATGATTTGTGTAACTCGAGTCCTGTAGGTTGTTAGAAGTTGTTGAGGGTTTGCAGCTTGGTTGTTGATGATGGTTGCTGGTTTATACGGCTGCGAGTTAGTGGTTAGAGGTGTGGAAGCCGAGTTTGTGGCTGAAGCACGTTTAATTGAGGTCGAGACTTTTATTCTGAATAAATTATGTTAAATTGCAATACATTGAGCACTCACAAATTTCTCCCGTCTTCGGCTGGCTAGCTAAGTGTTCTAGCGTATTTCTTCAATATATAGTCGATGGCTCTTTTATGTTCGGATAATGTGTCTGTAGGTCAAATTAATTGAGTGCTTAATTCGAACTTTGGACCTTCAGGTCCAATAACAGTGGTATTATCACTGAACAAGTAAATTATGTGAATATGAGGTACTCAGTACAACGAAAGTAGTCAGTTAAGATGACTAGTTTATGTGTTATGGTCAAAATGATGTGATCAAGAACAAGTTAGGATGCCGGTGCTTAAAAATTATTAGATCTGATATTGTTTTTTTATAAGGGTGATATAGGTTTTACCTTTTTGCTATTTTTGATAATTATTTAATAGATTCGAACTTGAATCCTCCATATTCAAAATTGGTGATGGATACCGGGTATTGTGTAATTGGATTCCCCTAAGCATAATGCCAAATCCAGGGGAGATGAGGGATAAATGAGTGTTTTGTCACGATCAAATTTTAATGAAGATTATATAGCCTAGTAGTTTAGAGAGACAAGTTATGATTGTTTATGTATTTGGTATCTTGGACCTCGCCGATTCATGAACTTAATTGTCTGACACCAAATAACTGATTATAGTATTGGCAATCTACAGGTTGAGTATAATTTCCAATGTTTTCAATATTATTATCTTAAAAAAAATGCGAGAAGCTCTCGCCTCTCTCCTCGTTTGCTTCGCTGCCGCCCTATGCAACTTGGCTAGGGTTCCAAAGACGGTAGCAAAATCCGTTGTGAGGAGAGTCAAAATCGAAGCCGTGTTCTCATCTAGTTTCAGGGAAGAGGAGATAGAAGAGGTATCTGTAGTCAGGTCTCCTATTTGGGGAGGATCAGTTAAAAGTCGAAGGGATAGAGAAATTGATTATTTCTCGAGATATATCCAGATTCGTAAATCGTGGAAGATAAACCCGAATCGAGAATCCGTCCAGAGTACGATTCTCCGATTAGCTCCAGAATGGAGCTATATAGTCTCTTAGGCGAGACTAGGAAACCCACCAACAAAAGCTCGGTGTTTCCAGTGGTGGCGATTATATCGGCGACGAGAGTTCCCAAATCGTTGGTGGTTTTACTCGAGAGGTATGACTCCAATTCTTATGAACACATTGATTGGATTTATGGGTATCTTATGCATACCGTTGTTTGTACTTATTAGCCTAATATGGGGTCTATACTGGTTTATCCAGAGATGTTTTTCCCAGACCATGTCGAAATTCGGTGAAGTTCATGCCGAAAAGGCGACTGCAGTGCTGCTTGAGGTTCTGGTGCTGGCGAAACGGAAACTGAGAAATAGGTCGACGCGATGAAGGTAGATGAAGTGGCAGCAGGGATCCAAGCCATGGCGATGGATCAAGTCGAGGAGTTTTCGATGAATGATGTGGCTACCGGGGTGCAATGGGTGAAGATGAGCTTGCTTGGCAGACTCTTCATGGATAATCCGCCCAGCTTGGCGGTTATCAGCAAGATCGTGAATGGGGAGTGGAATTGTGCGGTGGAAGATTAGTACAACGCTGGAGTCTGGAGCTTATGCGATTCAGGGCATGCCGGGAGATTTTATCAAGGCTAAGGTGTTGATCGTTGTCTTGCAGCCTCTCCGATCTCAGGTGTATGCTAGTAACCCATTGGCAGGTGAATTCTGGGTTACATTGGTGTACAAATTTCTCCCTATGCTATGTTATCATTGCGGCAGACTTGGCCACATAGCCCCGAATTGTACGTTCCCTGATCCAAATGGGATCAAACATTATGGCCCTGAGCTCACTACGGAAGTAATTGGATACAGAGTGGAGGAGGCTTATTTCATTCCTGATGACTCGATATTTGCACATGTTTTCCCCTTTGTTTCTTGATCATTTGAGCTTTAATTATCGCGTCTTTGGCCTATTTTACACTAGGTTATGTTCCTTTGTCACATTTCAAATCCTAGCACATAAAGTGAAGCATAGGCGCAAGTTTCAAGTCAAGCAGAGATCAATTGGCGATTAGGGAGAAGAAACTCGGGCATGACCTGAATAAGAATGGATTTCTACCTCACTTTATGGATAAATAATCATTCAAGCTTGTCATGAAAAGAAAGAGGACGAGACTACGAGCGTTTGGGATCAAACGGCGACTGATTCGGAGTCCGGACGAGGGAGAAACGAAGCATTGAATATAGGGGAACAGGTTCGGCAGTAAAAACACGGGCATGCCTAAATCAAAACACGACCGTGTCCATATTTAGGCACGACAGTGTTTTGGACGACGCGCGCGAGCGTGTTTTTAACACGGGAAAAAACACGGGCGGGCAAAACCAAAGCACGGCCGTGCCCTCCACCGTGTTTTGCCCAGAATCGGGTTTTTTAGGCAGATTGAGGCAAAAGGAAAAGGGAGAGCTGGGTTTTGGATCCCAAACACCCAAGGGAAGAACCAAAGAGAGAGAGAGAGAGAGAGAGAGGGCGATTTGAGGGCATTCTAAGAGTGGAATTGGAGGATTTCTTCGCCTTGGAAGCTCGAGGAACAAGCCCGGACTTGAAGACTGATCATCTGAAGATTCTTACTGCAGTCTCTGTCTACTCTATGGAGTAACTTCCCTTCACTTAGGTTTTGAGGAACCCTAGCTATGTTTGTTTGATTGGATGATTGTATGAGTACTCTAACTTGATAATCTTGAGTTCATATTCAATCTATGCATGTTTTCATGATTCAATTCTGCTTTAGTCGAGATTATTGATTCAACTTTGATCCTATGAGAGCGAATACCTGATTAGGTCAATAGAGCACCATAGATTGATAGTAGTGGATCGATTGCTTTAGTCGAGGGTTGATTCACTACTTTGTATCGATTGAGAACCTCATTCGATAGAGGGAATCTAGTTCAGAACGCCTTGATCGGTTGTTCAAGAAAAGGATACGTCCCTCTAGGCAATTGACTCAAGAGGGCCTTGTTCCTTTAATCGAGACTCAAGGTCTAGTCAAGGATTCTCCGCATTGTGAATGAAAGTGAAACAAGTTAGAAATCATCAATCGTTAATCTGGCTAGTGGCTAGGGGGAATCATACCTAAGTGAGTTCCCAACCTGTAATTAGATTAACTTTAACTGTAGTTTGCTAGAGTAGTTTTAGGTCTTTCATCTTAATCTGGTTTGCTAGATAATAAACTGAAGCTGAGTAATAGTAACTCTAGAGACCCGTGGATTTGATATTTATTACTTGAGCCACTATACTGCAGTCCCTTTCATTGGTTACACTTGACCTTTGTTAGGAGTTGTGTCGTAGCGAGTCAATTGCACAGCTGCTGAGGCCTCCAATCCAGCCCTCTGTTTGGATGAACCCACATACTGGTGGCCTGGGGCAGGAGAGTAGAAAACGGAAGAGGGATGAGGAGATGGAAGATGCTGTGGTAGAAGAAGATGACAGGCCAGTGGTGATTGCTTTACCTGCTAAGAAGCAAACTGACCAAGAGCAGAATATGAAGAATATGCAGGTGAAAATAGCAAAGAAAGCCAACTATAGAGCTCAAGGGAGTGGATCCAATGGTGGTGGCAATTTAACTGATCATATCTACAAAAGCAAGGGCAAGGGCGGTCAAGGGAGTTATACTGTTTATCATAAGGGGCAAGGGGCAGATGACAGGAACCGCTCGAATTATTATCGAGGAGGTTATGCTCCTCATTCTGGGGGGCGCAGTGCTGAAGGCAGTCACGGCAGTGGGCTAAAGCAGAATCCGAGGGGTGGTGCAGGGCAGCTGCAGAGTAGGCAGTCTAATGAGACTCGGCAGCAGCCTATTCCAGGGACGGGAAAGCAAAAGGGTAAGGAGGCATTTCGGATGACTTCTCCTGACCCAGAAGAGATCGACGAACGCAAGCGAGCTGCTGGGGAGGTGGAAGGATTGCAGTTTGATCCTACTCCAGTGAAGAAAAAATGTGTTGACAGTGCGGTGGAGGAAACTAGCCAAGAATGGTCCCAAACCAATAAATGAAGATTATTGCTTGGAACGTAAGGGGTATAGGACCGTCCCTTACGTTTCAGTCATTACTTGGTCTTTGTATGATGAATAAGCTAGATGTTGTTTTCCTTTCGGAAACAAAATCATGTAGGCGCGTAGTTTCTCGTAGGATGAGAGGTCTCGGTTTTCAGCATTTTTTCTTGTCGATGCAGTGAATGCTTCGGGTGGGTTGGTCTTAGCTTGGGACGTTGGGGTGAATCTTACCATTGTGGAGCACTCAAGTTTTTTGTATTTCGTATGGTATTATTGAAAATGGCCCTTTAGAGTATGTTTGTGTGTGTATTTTTCCAGTGATGTTTTGATTAGGCATCAACAAACTATTGAGTTGCAGGTGTACGTGGGCATCGGGCCGTGCCGCCCGCGGGCTAGCACGACACGGCACGGTTAGAGCACGACACGAGCACGGGCAAGAAATAAATGAGCCAGCCTGGCACGAGCACGAATAATTTATGGGCCATGTTGGGCCTAAACTTCATGGGCACGAGCACGGGCACGACACGGTATATAAGTGGGACGTGTCAGGCCTAATATTTTCGAGACTTTATTGAGTATAAGAACGGACATGGCACAAAAATAATATTTATTTGATAGAAAATAAATATAGAAAGAATTATAGATTCAAATATTACAAGACACAAGTAGAAAAATAATTATTTGTTGTTGTTAGAAGTGCCATACAGATATATACGTAATTACTAACATAAGTAAAAATGGACAAAGAATTAAACAAAGCCAAATCACACTCGTTATACTTCCAATTTTCTTTCCCCCCTTATTTGTTACTTTTCTCAAACATTATCGGTTAATACTATCTTCCCGCGTCCAATTTTCACCTTATTTTTCATTCTCTTTTATTTTCGTCCTTTTCATTAAACACGAATACGAGCATGGCACGAGCACGAATAGGCACGACACGATTCGAATGGTGTCCGGGCCTGGGCCGGGCCTAACAAAGTTAACAAATGGGCTTGCATGGCACGACATGAAAACTGACGGCCGTGCCAAGCACGGCACGAAATAAAGGGGCACAAAGCGTGCTCGTGCCGTGTAGGCCCAAGCACGGCCCAACGCCCATGTATAGTTGCGGGTCTTTTGTTCTAATATGGATGTTCCCTATGTGGTGCTGGGGGATATGAATTGTGTGACGGAAGCGTCGGAGAAATCTGGCAGTTTGCCATGGGATCCTACCAGGGCTGCAGGGGTGAGGGATTTGGCCAATGATCTTGCATTGCAGGATGTTGGCTTTATGGGTCCGCAATTTACATGGTCTAATAAACGCATGGGGGCGGCATGTATCATGGAACGCCTTGACAGGGTTCTAGCATCTCCTTTATGGATGGAGAGGTTTCCGCAGACGGTGGTTAAACACTGTAGGACCTTGGGTCTGATCACAAAGCGTTGCTAGTGGCTGATAAATCGTTTGTTAGGAGCTCTAAGCCTTTGTTTCGATTTGATGCGAGATGGGCTGAAAAATCAGGAGACAAGGCTACTTGTGCGCTATGCCTGGAGTCAACCGTACACTGGTTCGCCTATGTTTCGATTGTGGCAACGCCTAAAGTCTCTTCGGCACCTATTGTATGATTGGAGTCGTGCGGGCACGACGAACTCGGCCCGGAATATTCAAATTCTCCAGACGGAGATTGAGGCGGTAAAAGGTGAAAGAAATGTGGACCGGGACCGAGCGATGGAACTTGAGCGCGAATTAGTGTGGCAGTGGATGAATGAAGAGATATTCCGGCGTAGAAAATCGAGGATACAATGGGTAGGTGAAGGGGATCATAACTCAGGGTACTTTCATACGGTTACAAGAACCCGTCGGCGGAGAAATTTCATAAAGGGTTTATTTAATAATAATGGGATTTGGGTGACTGATGAAGGTCAGAAGGGCGCATTGGCGAGTGGCTTCTATGAACATTTGTTTCGGTCAGAGAATCAGATACATGATATGGAGACTCGAGTGTCTGACCTGCCAATTCCTGCTTCCGTCACTGTT